CCCCAAAACCCCAAAACCCCAAAACCCCAAAACCCCAAAACCCCATAAAGCCTCCCTAGTTGAAATTAATAATAAGATTAGATATCTTTACTTTCAGTTATGATATTTCAGAGGAAATCCCAGAGTTTGAAGAAACCCCTTGTGGGGATACCAGAAGGTAACATAAATCCCCTCATCACTACTTCTCCCACCCAAAAATCCCTTCCTTCCATCCTAATCTTAAAACTTTTAAGTGGGGAAATAGGCGAGGTGATGAAGAAGTTTGTACGAATGACGTAAATTTATGTCAATTTTTATGTGGCCAGGGCTGGGATTTTGAAAGGATTTATGGTATAGGTGATCAGGTGAAGAGGAATTTGACTCTTCCGGGTTTGAGTGAGGTTTTTAGGGGGGGGAAATGGAGTGACAGGTGGGAAGGTTTTTATGAATTTCTGAATTAAGAATGATCTGAACGAGGGATCGTTATTCAAAATGGGAGATAATCTAAAGAAGCTACCTTGTATTAAGCAAATAGACTTGAATCCTGAACCTAGAGTTCAGAAGAAAGGATCAAGAAATCATGAGGGTTTTAATACAATGGTGGCGTCACCACAAATCATCCTTAATTTGGATAAGATCTCAACAAGCAAGCTAAAAGAAGTCAGTCACCAAGCAAATCTGAGTGATTCATCTCTCTGAGACTCATTTTCTAAGTCCAAAAATGTTCTTGAAAGCTTTGACTACCCTAAATTACCCTCCAGACCTCAGTCAGCCAGATTCCACTGCTCCTTTCCAAAATGTCAAAAATTCTTCAGCACTCCCATTGCCAGAGACTCTCACTTGAGGTACCATTACAAGGACCGTCCCCACCACTGCCACCTCTGCTCAAAGAGCTACACTCAAAACGGTAACTTAATCAAACACTTGAGGAGTCATGCCACTCCAAACATCGACCGCAGAAGAGTCCATACATGCGAGTTCTGCAACAGGGGATATACTGAGAAGTACAATTTGAAGATATTAAATAGCATTACTATCTTATCATGCTTGTATAGAGCCATCAACTAAAAATGCATTCTCTTGAGTATCAAAGAAAGTACAACACGCCCAGAAACATAATTTAATTTCTCATAAAATTGCTATCCAAATTTCGTATTCTTTTCTATCAGTTTATCAGTTATGCAATTTTTCCTGAGTCCTTTCTTTATGACATCCTAATCTGCACAGTTTATGGATACTTGCTAAGCTTTGTTCTAATTTTAAAAGTTAATATTTCTCAGAGCTGAGACACAAAGTCGAGAATATTTAATTATCTTAATTGATTTTTACCTCTAACGTCATCTAATTATATGAAATATGATTTATCTAAAAATAGGTTTACAATCAGTTTATCAAAGCTTTGAGAAATCCAGTAAATTTAGCTCAATTTTTAGCACAAATAATGCAATCCCTAGCGCTCTGAGCACTCTGTAGTTGGGGTAAACTTTAAGGGAGTTTAAAAGTTAACGATTTTTGCCACTTACGTAAGCAGATAAATCATTATTCTGAAAAATGGAGGTAAATTTATTTAAATTCTGGAACTATAAGAGCTTTAGATGAAAATCTGGCAGTGAAATCACCATGAGTTTAGAAGTAATTGTGGCATTGTCCGAGATAAAATGTAGTGATAATCTGGCTTGGAAGCAGTACAAAATGGATTAATTAAGCACAAGGTCATTTTTATTTATTCAAAATTTCAGCTGATGTAACACAATTTAAAAAGTATAGAAAAAATTTTAACTCACTTTTTTATTCTTTGAATTTGTTCTTGCGATAATTTTGATTAAACATGCTTTAGAAAGACGATTTATTAGATATTTTGTAAAGTGGCAGCATCTCTTCTAGTTTGGAAACATTATTTAAAGAATAATAAAATGTGTTAAAAATGTTATAGTCAAAAATATGTGTAAAACACAAAGATTATTCGATTTTTAGGTATTCAAATTACCGCAGATTACTGAAACTGAGCAATAAAAATCTAACTAGTGTTTAAAAGATTCTTATTTTATATATGGCTCTTAATAATGTTCACTTTTATGAAGTGGAAGGACCCCACTATAATAAATTCATTGGTTATAAGAGAGCTTAATCCTTGCATAACAGCTCATGCTTTCTCTTCTAGCCATCAGTTATAAAATTTAGACCCAAAATTAATTGACAAATAAGGCCACGATGTTATAATCCCTTCCTCTAAAGCTCCATCCAAACAAAAATCCGACCTACCTTCATTATCTATCAAAAATCCACTCACTTATAAAATCAACCTCAAAATTTGACTCAAACACCTCCTTTCTTGACTTCTTCCCATCCCCAATCCCCCTTCCCCCCTAAACACCCACACCTCTCCCCCATAATCCTTCTCCTCTTCCTCCATCACCCCTCCCAACCCCCCACATCTCAGTTCTTCCCACCCCTACCAATCCTTCTCAAGTGAACAATCCGGCTTAAATCTGTATGCGTACATTTTTAGATTTTTGGAAGAAGTAAAAACCTGAGTTTGGGATTTAGGATTTTTTATGGGGAATTTTGGGGAGGGGGTTAGGAGAGGAGGTGGGTAATGGGGGATTTTGGTGGTCTTGTGTAGTGGGGGAGTATTGGATGTTAACTTTTTTTAGGGCATGAAATGTTGGGGTTATTAGAGGATTGGAATAATGTTATGTCTTTTTATATTTTGATGTGTATACAGTTTTTGATCAGTTTTTGGGCTTTGTAAATTTATGAAATTTGTATTTGGATTATTAAACAGCTTTGATTCATGAATAAGTAGTTAGTTAGAGAAGCTAAGAAATCATTGCAATTATCGTCCAAATTCATAGATCCAGTGTTTATACTAAAGTCTTTTTGATGGTTTCTTGAGCTTCCACTCATTCTTGACAAAAGAAACAACTCTATCAAATGTTCATTCTAATCAATGCGAAATTAAGCGTTAAGTTACTCAAATAATCAGATTCAGAGGATTACTAGTATTTAAAGTTTAGTTTCAAAAGTTTGATGCTTTTCCTGAGTCTTAAAGAACATATTTAAAAACTTAATATTATGGTAAGCTTAGTCTACAAAGCTAAAGGATAGTAAGACAACAAGGGTTTTGAAGGCATCTCAAAGAAATCTCGGTGAGCTCAGGAATTCTGAAATTAAATTTAAAATTTCAACTATGAATGATGTGCTGGGGTTTTGGGGTTTTGGGGTTTTGGGGTTTTGGGG